TCATTCGTAGTTATTCTGTGGTTAAAATGTCGAAATATACTATTATATTATTTATTTATGTATTTCTTTGTCTTGGATGTTCTTGAATTTATTTGAACTGTATTCCCGTCATGTCATGTTGTCATTCAAGCGGTATATTTAACATTGCAATAAAGCGCGAGTCAGGAATATGGCAGTTGTAATCTTATAGTTCGTTTCTATGTTTGTTGCATTGCCGTTTGTTTTTTGTTGCACTTCAGTGTTCTGTTGTTTTGTTGTTTTCCTCTTATAGTTGATGTGTTTCCTTCAATTTTAGTTTGTAACCCGGATTTGTTTTCTCTCAATCGATTTATGACTTTTGAACAGCGGTATACTACTGTTTTATTTAATTGTAATTGGCGATTCTTTAAAACCATGCATGATAATATAGCCTAGTGACAAAATGATCAATGGCAAGGAAAAAAGGCGAGTCATCTTTGGTTATTTTTGTTGGTGTTTTACTTTAGAAAATACGGAATGGTTTGTAAGGACACCGTTTTTTATCAGGATAGACCCTGGCTTTTGTTTTGTTTCATCTTGTTAGTATCTTTTCCTTGTCTAGTTTGGGTTTGACGTTCAGTGCGTACACAGAGATATTCCCCGACTTAGGGGGTGTACTTCAATACAAACATCTCCAAATTTAAGATCTCTTTGTTCCTTACCACAATGCACCTCAAGAACAAGGGTTAGAGTTAACCGGTAAATTAGACAAAGGTAGAGGGGCACATGTTCCTAACAAATCATGTTTCTAGCTTTTATGAATTTCCTAGTCGGTCAACTCATCTGAGGCATTTGGCTTGTTTCCGTACCCCTAACTTTTTAACTGTTTTTTTTTTCTTTTTTAGCTTGAAGAACTTTTCTTCATTTTTCAAATTCAGGACTTTTTATTATAATTAATGCAGAATTTTTCTGTTAAAGATACCTATATACACTACACATGAAGCCTTTCAGTGTTGATGGTTCACATTGGTTTCCATCTTTATTTTCACAGCAAAGAGATAAATGCAAATATTTTTATTTAGATGTTCTGCAGACATATTTTCTACCTCAACTATAACACCAGTCTCCTCTAAATAATTCCATATCTGAAACTGTTTTTCTTTTTTGTATTTTCATTTGTACTTGCTTCACGGACATTTTCGTGAGAAATTCTAGTTATCATATTAAAATCTGGTAATTCCACTGCTTCTAACTCGAAATCATTTTCTTAAATAATTTGGTCTACTATGGCTGCTGTATAGGAATCAAGATAATCAGATATTTGGGAATTATTTGAAAAAAGCAGATTTGTTTTATAGAAAAGGAGGAGAGTAAAAGGAAGCTATCAAAGCATAATATTTACTTTTTTTTTATTGTTTATTTTTTTTTATGTTTTTTTTTTGTTTGCTTTAATAGACACACATAACTGTATAATTCTAGTTATTTACCAAATGGGACATAATTTCGTTGAAAAGATATTCACTTAATTGAAAATGTTTATTTTATTGTCCGAACAATTATCGTGTTTACAATCTCTCGTGTATTCACTCCAAAATTAGCCGTGTTTATATTTATTTGCTCCGTATTTGGCACGCCACATATGAGCCATACGATGTATAAAGCACACTATCTATACTTATGATATCAACATCTATAATGATATTTTTTTTTATCGAGCTCAAGCGTGACAAGCTCTTAAAAAGAAACGGTTGTTTCTTTTATAGTCAATTACTTGTTGATACACTGTTGTGCTTTTTACATTGTATTTTTGGTCACTGTGTGTGAAAAAAGTAGTTCCGGTAAAGGCGTAGAAAGTCTCGAGAGTAAAAATAAACGAGTTATTTCACATGCAAGATTATCGGATTTATCACAAAGGGAAATTCATATAAATCACCATCATCTATATAATACTTTTTTTACTTAGCGATACTTAATACTGGATACTGTATGTTAAGAGATACCTATATCGTCAAAAATGCTGGGCATGGTATATACTACTGTTTTACTTATTTCAATTATATATCATCCAAATGAGCGAACGATGAAAACAATCATCAAAGATATCCGATTTATGATTTAATACATAGTTGGAAGACCAATATTAATTGAAAAGTGAAAAGGCACCGAAAACCATAAATCGGAAAAAATATACCAAATAGGGCAAATGAAATTTATGTCTGGGGTAGACAAATCTTAGTGTTTTTGAGTGATTTTAACGTTTTATTAACAATAGACTAAAAAATGAAACGACTTTTTTTAGTGCTATTGCATGTCAGTATAGAAGTACTGACAAGTAAGCTGTGGATCTGTCGATATATTGCTTCAAACGAGCGTTCTTCTATATAAGACTCATCAGAGACAAAAGTAAAATCACAAAAATAATTAACTCCGAGGAAAATTCAAAACGGAAAGTCCCTAATCAAATGGCAAAATCAAAAGCTCACACATATCAAACGAATGGGTAACAACTGTCATATTCCTGACTTGGTACAGGCATTTTCTATGTAGAAAATTGTGGATTGAACCTGGTTTTATAGCTAGCTTGTATGACAGTCGTATCAAATTCCATTATATTGACAACGATGCGTGAACAAAACAAACAGACATAATAGGTAAAAATGTCAAAAATAGGGGTACAGCAGTCAACATTGTGTTATAACCTAAATCACTAAAAAACAAACAAATATGTAACACAGAAGCACAAAATGGTATATAGACCAAGCATATTAGCAAAAATTAAGACGAGAATACACAAAATTAACATAGTACAATAACACAATGACGGGATATATAAGTGCAGAGCCACGTCATATATGTATCAAAGAAACATAAAAAGGCATATAGACAAAGCACATAGCAAAAATGAAAGACAAGCATACAAACATGTTTTACAATAGCACAGAGCCACGCTATATATATCGAAGTAACACCAAAACGCATATAGACAAAGCACATTGACAAAAATGAAAGACAAGAATACGAGAATACCATAAACAATAACATAATGACTGGATTACTGGAGAGGTATTTGGATCAAAAAAGTTGTAAGGTAAAAAATTATTATGAATTTGAAACGACTGAAAATAAAAAAAAATATTTGATTTATGTCATTTTTATGTAGAATAATATAGGAAATACTGTCTTTTGGTGAGGTAAATATGTGGTTTCATTGACTTTTGAAAAAATGATATTCATTGAGGCCAACAGCCGAATAGAATATCAGTTTTTCAAATGTCAATCAAACCACATATTTAATGAAACAAAACATAGTAATTATTTTATTCTATATTCCTAGAAACAATGTGTGTAATTATAATGATTTACTGTAACCAATTGTACATCATAGTAGTAACCATACCTTTACATAGTCAGATCCATTGTCAAGAACAAATTTAGAAAACTTTATTCTGACAGTGTTTCTAACACCAACATCGATACTCCATGTTTTATAAATGCCGTTGTTGTAGTTTGACGGATACCCGGGTTATGTTATCACTTCGTAAAATTCATCTAAAAAATAAAATACATAAAAGTCACATGTAAATGAAAAAATATATAGTAGAAATGAATCACGGTGGAAATATATTATTACTTTTGATGTGAAAAACATTCAACATTTAAGTTGTTCTGATTACCAGTTTGACTATGTTTCCATCAAGTACACACTCAAACGAAGAAGAGATGAAAAAAGATACCAAAATATACCAAAGGGACATTCAAACGAATAAAATTCGAAAATGAACTGACAACGCCGTGGCAGAAAAAAAGAAAAAGACAAAACGACAAATAACAGTAAACAAAACACAACATAGAGAACTAAGGGCTGAGCAGCACGAAAATGATACATGTAAAAGCAATGCTTAAGATCCACCAAGACAGAACATTGTCAAAATTTAATCAAAAAGACGAAATTGCAAAGAAATCACCTTTTCCAAGAATTTTTTTCAATTTGTGTTTTTGTTTTGGCTCAGTTAGTTTTTATTTCTTTCGATAGATGTTATACGTAATGAAGTTACAAGGAGGACTATATGAATTTGATGTTTAAATAACTTCCTACAGTACCAAAATATGTTAAATGGATTCAAATGTACTGATATTGTCGTCGCCTTTACATTGGTCAACGCACTAGGCTGTACAAAAAAAAATGTAGCATTCGGTAGTCAAGTGGTGCGGTCCTTTATCAGCTTCGTCTATGGTGTACATTACGTGATGTATGATAGCATATAGATGTAATATCTTCATATCAGGTGTTTTGTCAGTAATAAAGAATAATTACACTTATTAAGGTAAAATATTAATATGCTTTTATTGTAAACGTCTCAATTTATGAAACTTTACGACCGACGTTTTCCATCGGATAACCTATGTTCATTAGGCATTTCATGAATCATGAAATATGTCGCGTTTCTTGTTACAATTAAAGATTTTGTAAATGTTTAAATATCAGAATATGGCAGTTATCATTTATCGAAATAAAGCATTACTATATAAGTAGACCCTTTTCATTCATATACTAGAAAACTTTAACGCAAATAACGAATATAGTTTGACTATAGGTTCTATCAGTTTGGCGTGTGGTATATTTGCCTAATTTTATCTTTTTCCTTGTTATCTCACCTTGACAACGTTCGCCTTCAGTTCCAATTGGACAATAGCAGGTGTAATTATTGTCTGAACCAGTACAGGAGGCAGAGTGGAAACAGGGATTTGATAAGCAAGATTTCTGTTCTGAAATTATATAGAAATAGGATACACTGTTCGTAAAGAATAAACAATATCAATAACACAAATCAAAATAATATAAAATCGAGGAAAGTTATACCAGTAACGTTAGCATAGCAATTTGTTTATTCAACAACAACAAAAATATGCTAACGAGATGTTATCACTACTAACTTGGCACCCTCTTATAGATATTAAGTTTTTTCGATATCAAATTGTTTTTGTTTTTCCTTCTCAACTAAATGCAATTTATTCTAAATCAAGCTTTAAAAAAAACATACCTTCACAAAACAGCCCTGTAAAGCCGGACTTGCATAAACAGAGAAACGTGCCATTCAACACTTCACATGAACCTCCGTTTAAACAGTTAAATCCGGTACAAGGTGTCACTGAAATTAGAAAATGTATGACATGAGAAGAAATCAATGAATAACTTTTTTAAATTTAACAGTTTAGCTATTACATAAACTGAAACGCCTAGATAGAAAGCATGACAGTGATACAATGAACAACTATATAACTTTTAAATTCGAAAGGTAACCTAAACTGTTTAAATGAAACAAATGATATGATTAAATTAATGTTGAATACATACATCTTCATTGAGTTTTCAAGTACACTGAATCATATAGTTGAATATGAATTATCTCTTCTGAATATGACTATTGTAAAACGTAATTATGTAAAAATGAATTACAAGAACCCTTACCATAATATCGAACTACTTAAACAAAAACGACAGTATTCACCTTAATATTATATTTGCATCGTCCAGAAAGAAATCTTAAAAATTAATTAAAACCCGGCACATTCTTTATGTGTCTTTCGAAAGTCAGAAGCCTGTAATACAGTGATTGTTGTTTTCTCCTTTATGTCATATTTGTGTTCAGTAAATGTTTTTGTAATGAATTAGGCCGTTAGTTTTTTTCGTTTGAATTGTTTCACATTTTTTCATGTCGTTGCGTTTTATAACTGATTTTTCTAATTGTTGTAGACCGTACAGTAGACTATAATTTCTTACTTACAATTATTTTTACTCTGGTGAATATTAGTGTCATTGGCCATCATGTTAAATGCAATATTATTTCGGAAAAATGATAGCCGAGAGAAAGTGTTTCAATCGGAAAGACAACAAAACATTAAACATCTTATATATCTAGAGTAACCAAAAGCGACTAAAGATGTGTCGATTCTTAAATAAGTAATGCAGTGTGTGCTGGTAGACAATTTGCTTCTCATTTGAATATCTTTAAACAGCCCAGTGCATTCCGATTGCAAATTGTCAAGACTTAATATGTTGTACTTTTGTCGCTTTTTTTTTGTCATGGTGTCCTTGTTAGCCCGGAACTTTTGTCAGAAGCAGGCAGCAGATGACAGTATAACTTTCATATTTATATCAGAAAAAACGAACATACCCAGATTATAATTCAGGACTCAAGACTCAAATGTTGCACTAATGCAGAATTTTTCTGTTAAAGATACCTATATACACTACACATGAAGCCTTTCAGTGTTGATGGTTCACATTGGTTTCCATCTTTTTTTTCACAGCAAAGAGATAAATGCAAATTTTTTTATTTAGATGTTCTGCAGACATATTTTCTACCTCATCTATAACACCAGTCTCCTCTAAATAATTCCATATCTGAAACTGTTTTTCTTTTTTGTATTTTCATTTGTACTTGCTTCACGGACATTTTCGTGAGAAATTCTAGTTATCATATTAAAATCTGGTAATTCCACTGCTTCTAACTCGAAATCATTTTCTTAAATAATTTGGTCTACTATGGCTGCTGTATAGGAATCAAGATAATCAGATATTTGGGAATTATTTGGAAAAAGCAGATTTGTTTTATAGAAAAGGAGGAGAGTGAAAGGAAGCTATCAAAGCATAATATTTACTTTTTTTTTATTGTTTATTTGTTTTTATGTTTTTTTTTTTTTTTTGGTTTGCTTTATAAGACACACATAACTGTATAATACTTGTTATTTACCAAATGGGACATAATTTCGTTGAAAAGATATTCACTTAATTGAAAATGTTTATTTTATTGTCCGAACAATTATCGTGTTTACAATCTCTCGTGTATTCACTCCATAATTAGCCGTGTTTATATTTATTTGCTCCGTATTTGGCACGCCACATATGAGCCATACGATGTATAAAGCACACTATCTATACTTATGATATCAACATCTATAATGATGATATTTATTTTTATCGAGCTCAAGCGAGACAAGCTCTTAAAAAGAAACGGTTGTTTCTTTTATAGTCAATTACTTGTTGATACACAGTTGTGCTTTTTACATTGTATTTTTGGTCACTGTGTGTGAAAAAAGTAGTTCCGGTAAAGGCGTAGAAAGTCTCGAGAGTAAAAATAAACGAGTTATTTCACATGCAAGATTATCGGATTTATCACAAAGGGAAATTCATATGAATCACCATCATCTATATAATACTTTTTTACTTAGCGAGACTTAATACTGGATACTGTATGTTAAGAGATACCTATATCGTCAAAAATGCTGGGCATGGTATATATTTCTGTTTTACTTATTTCAATTATATATCATCCAAATGAGCGAACGATGAAAACAATCATCAAAGATATCCGATTTATGATTTAATACATAGTTGGAAGACCAATATTAATTCAAAAGTGAAAAGGCACCGAAAACCACAAATCGGAAAAATATACCAAATAGGGCAAATGAAATTTATGTCTGGGGTAGACACATCTTAGTGTTTTTGAGTGATTTTAACGTTTTATTAACAATAGACTAAAAAATGAAACGACTTTTTTAGTGCTATTGCATGTCAGTATAGAAGTACTGACAAGTAAGCTGTGGATCTGTCGATATATTGCTTCAAACGAGCGTTCTTCTATATAAGACTCATCAGAGACAAAAGTAAAATCACAAAAATACTGAACTCCGAGGAAAATTCAAAACGGAAAGTCCCCAATCAAATGGCAAAATCAAAAGCTCAAACATATCAAACGAATGGATAACAACTGTCATATTCCTGACTTGGTACAGGCATTTTCTATGTAGAAAATGGTGGATTGAACCTGGTTTTATAGCTAGCTTGTATGACAGCCGTATCAAATTCCATTATATTGACAACGATGCGTGAATAAAACAAACAGACATAATAGGTAAAAATGTCAAAAATAGGGGTACAGCAGTCAACATTGTGTTATAATCTAAATCACTAAAAAACAAACAAATATGTAACACAGAAGCACAAAATGGTATATAGACTAAGCATATTAGCAAAAATTAAGACGAGAATACACAAAATTAACATAGTACAATAACACAATGACGGGATGTATAAGTACAGAGCCACGTCATATATGTATCAAAGAAACATAAAAAGGCATATAGACAAAGCACATAGCAAAAATGAAAGACAAGCATACAAACATGTTTTACAATAGCACAGAGCCACGCTATATATATATCGAAGTAACACCAAAAGGCATATAGACAAAGCACATTAACAAAAAAGAAAGACAAGAATACGAGAATATCATAAACAATAACATAATGACTCGATTACTGGAGAGGTGTTCGGATCAACAAAGTTGTAAGGTAAAAAATTATTATGAATTTGAAAGGACTGAAAATAAAAAAAAATATTTGATTTATGTCATTTTTATGTAGAATAATATAGGAAATACTGTCTTTTGTTGAGGTAAATATGTGGTTTCATTGACTTTTGAAAAAATGATATTCATTGAGGCCAACAGCCGAATTGAATATTAGTTTTTCAAATGTCAATCAAACCACATATTTAACGAAACAAAACATAGTAATTATTTTATTCTATATTCCTAGAAACAATGTGTGTAATTATAATGATTTACTGTAACCAATTGTACATCATAGTAGTAACCATACCTTTACAAAGTCAGATCCATTCTCAAGAACAAATTTAGAAAACTTTATTCTGACAGTGTTTCCAACACCAACATCGATATTCCATGTTTTATAAATGCCGTTGTTGTAGTTTGACGGATACCCGGGTGATGTTATCACTTCGTAAAATTCATCTAAAAAATAAAATACATGTAAATGAAAAAATATATAGTAGAAATGAATCACGGTGGAAATATATCATTACTTTTGATGTGAAAAACATTCAACATTTAAATTGTTCTGATTACCAGTTTGACCATGTTTCCATCAAGTACACACTCAAACGAAGAAGAGATGAAAAACGATACCAAAATATACCAAAGGGACATTCAAACGAATAAAATTCGAAAATAAACTAACAACGCCGTGGCAGAAAAAAGAAAAAGACAAAACGACAAATAACAGTAAACAAAACACAACATAGAGAACTAAGGACTGAGCAGCACGAAAATGATACATGTAAAAGCAATGCTAAAGATCCACCAAGACAGAACATTGTCAAAATTTAATCAAAAAGACGAAATTGCAAAGAAATCACCTTTTCCACGAATTTTTTTCAATTTATGTTTTTGTTTTGGATCAGTTAGTTTTTATTTCTTTCGATAGGTGTTATACGTAATGAAGTTACAAGGAGGACTATATGAATTTGATGTTTAAATAACTTCCTACAGTAACAAAATATGTTAAATGGATTCAAATGTACTGATATCGTCGTCGCCTTTACATTGGTCAACGCACTAGGCTGTACAAAAAAAAATGTAGCATTCGGTAGTCAAGTGGTGCGGTCCTTTATCAGCTTCGTCTATGGTGTACATTACGTGATGTATGATAGCATATAGATGTAATATCTTCATATCAGTTGTTTTGTCAGTAATAAAGAATAATGACACTTATTAAGGTAAAATATTATTATGCTTTTATTGTAAACGTCTCAATTTATGAAACTTTACGACCGACGTTTTCCATCGGATAACCTATGTTCATTAAGCATTTCATGAATCATGAAATATGTCGCGTTTCTTGTTACAATTAAAGATTTTGTAAATGTTTAAATATCAGAATATGGCAGTTATCATTTATCGAAATAAATCATTACTATATAAGTAGACCCTTTTCATTCATATACTAGAAAACTTTAACGCAAATAACGAATATAGTTTGACTATAGGTTCTATCAGTTTGGCGTGTGGTATATTTGCCTAATTTTATCTTTTTCCTTGTTATCTCACCTTGACAACGTTCGCCTTCAGTTCCAATTGGACAATAGCAGGTGTAATTATTGTCTGAACCAGTACAGGAGGCAGAGTGGAAACAGGGATTTGATAAGCAAGGTTTCTGTTCTGAAATTATATAGAAATAGGATACACTGTTCTTAAAGAATAAACAATATCAATAACACAAATCAAAATAATATAAAATCGAGGAAAGTTATACCAGTAACGTTAGCATAGCAATTTGTTTATTCAACAACAACAAAAATATGCTAACGAGATGTTATCACTACTAACTTGGCACCCTCTTATAGATATTAAGTTTTTTCGATATCAAATTGTTTTTGTTTTTCCTTCTCAACTGAATGCAATTTATTCTAAATCAAGCTTTAAAAAAAAACATACCTTCACAAAACAGCCCTGTAAAGCCGGATTTGCATAAACAGAGAAACGTGCCATTCAACACTTCACATGAACCTCCGTTTAAACAGTTAAATCCCGGTACAAGGTGTCACTGAAATTAGAAAATGTATGACATGAGAAGAAATCAATGAATAACTTTTTTAAATTTAACAGTTTAGCTATTACATAAACTGAAACGCCTTGATAAAAAGCATGACAGTAATACAATGAACAACTATATAACTTTTAAATTCGAAAGGTAACCTAAACTGTTTAAATGAAACAAATGATATGATTAAATTAATGTTGAATACATACATCTTCATTGAGTTTTCAAGTACACTGAATCACATAGTTGAATATGAATTATCTCTTCTGAATATGACTATTGTAAAACGTAATTATGTAAAAATGAATTACAAGAAACCTTACCATAATATCGAACTACTTAAACAAAAACGACAGTATTCACCTTAATATTATATTTGCATCGTCCAGAAAGAAATCTTAAAAATTAATTTGTTGGTTTAAGCAGTTCGAGAATATAATGCCGATTATTTTAATTTATTTTTTTTAACTTTCTTTTCAGATATATTTTAGTCTTCCAGACTGTAATTGTTACTACCACTAATTTTATTAAATTACCTTCACAGTTTTTACCGGAGAAACCCCGAGTACAGCTACAATAGTATTGTTCCTCGTCATTTACACATAAGCCTCCATTCAAACAAGGGAGTGAACTGCATAATAAGTCTGTAAAGATGTGCGTTTAAAGTAATTATATAAGTTAATATAACACAGAAGTCCAACCATATGCATTGACCATTTACGATGCCAATTTGGACAAGTGTTTTTACCCTTTGAAATGACAAAAGACTTTTTTCTTGCACCACTGTCCCAAATTTGAATGAGAGTTAAGTGCTTATAAACAAGTTAAAACCCGGCACATTCTTTATGTGTCTTTCGAAAGTCAGAAGCCTGTAATACAGTGATTGTTGTTTTCTCCTTTATGTCATATTTGTGTTCAGTAAATTTTTTTGTAATGAATTAGCCGTTAGTTTTTTTCGTTTGAATTGTTTCACATTTTCATGTCGTTGCGTTTTATAACTGATTTTTCTAATTGTTGAAGACCGTACAGTGGACTATAATTTCTTACTTACAATTAATGTTTACTCTGGTGAATATTAGTGTCATTGGCCATCATGTTAAATGCAATATTATTTCGGAAAAATGATAGCCGAGAGAAAGTGTTTCAATCGGAAAGACAACAAAACATTAAACATCTTATATATCTAGAGTAACCAAAAGCGACTTAAGATGTGTCGATTCTTAAATAAGTAATGCAATGTGTGCTGGTAGACAATTTGCTTCTCATTTGAATATCTTTAAACAGCCCAGTGCATTCCGATTGCAAATTGTCCAGTTTTAATATGTTTGTCGCTTTTTTTTTTGTCATGGTGTCCTTGTTAGCCCGGAACTTTTGTCAGAAGCAGGCAGCAGATGACAGTATAACTTTCATATTTATATCAGAAAAAACGAACATACCCAGATTATAATTCAGGACTCAAGACTCAAATGTTGCACTAAAATCGAAAACGTTGTGTGGAAAACCAATTCAATCACTAAGATCATTTAAAACCAAAAGTGTAAAAATAACAATTTATAATTATTATTTTTTTAACAATATAATAATATTTTTCATTAATTCTTGCTTGCTACAACTCTCACCAAGAGTCCAAGCTTCTCTTGATTTACCCTGTTACACTCCACTGAGTATTTAGGGAAACACACAGATGAATCTACTTATTATCAACTGTACAAAGTTACTTATTTGTTCCATTTAAGTAAACAGTACCAAGGAACCATGGAAAGTGTGAATTCTACTTCAAAGGTAAAGGATCAAAAACCGGTTGTCTGCAAACATTACCTATGTCATAAATTAAACGATAGATACATGATACCAGGCTTATAATTTTAGTTAAAAAAAGACACGCTTTCGTCTTTATTAGTCTTTCTAGTGATTCTCGAATCGAAATAGTAGAAATTTCAAATCATAAATTATGATAAAAAGATAATTGAACCCAAAAAATTAAAAAAAATGTTTTGCTAAATACAGATAAGGTAATAAATGCTAAGGACTAGAAAACCCCTTGTGTTTCGAATATTGTAGGAATTTCTAAACAGCGAAACTTATTATAAAAATAATCGTATCTATTCAAATGATGTTACTTTTACATTAATAATGAGAAATTGTAGTTTGCATACAATTGTGATGATTCTCTAATTCCAAACAACCCTGACATTTCAGCAACCAACAATCAATCAATAGGATACATACAGTACCCGTACACGTGTTCGTATGCAAGCTTTTTGGTGTTTTTATTTTCGTTTTAATGTCTCATCGGGAAAAATTGCGTTTTTGCATGTTTAACTACAAATATAAAACTTTTTATTCGATGAAATAATTTCTTTATTTACTTACGCTGTGTTTTCTTTTCCGAAAACTTGTTTTTTGTTGTTTTGAAGGTGACAACATTGGATACGGTTATTGTGAGCAGAAAGCAAATAATTAATAATAGCAAACGCCCTGGAACTTGCTTCATTAGACTGCGAAAATTATCTTGTATGGACTGATTGTTGGTTATATTGTGTGCAATATTAACGTTAGTTTTAAGAGGACTACTTTTAGGAATCGGGTTCACGTCTTCGTAATCGGATTGATCCTCAGGACTAAAGCAGTCTTCATAGTCTTCACCATCGTCTGTTATTCCTTCATTGAACATATTGTTGACATATACGTTCGGAGTTGCTTTGGACATCTTGACCAGATTTCTTTTTCTTCCTTACCAAGTTGTAATTCTGTTGATAAAAAAAGACAGCATGAATGTATAACATCCACACTTGTTTTGGTATGATAACAACACAAATATGAAGGTTAAAATATAAAAAGATCAAAGAAAAGCCTTCGAACATTCACCTTATTTTTGTAGATTCATATTGTTTAAGTGCGAACATACGTGAAGACACGGTGTCATACAAGTGGAAAATAAATCTAGCTATTAAAAAAGTAAATCACGAAAATACTGAACTCAGAGTACAATTCAAAACGAAAAGTTCTTAATCAAATGGCAAAATCAAAAGCGTAAACAGAGCAAACGAATGTTATATTTTCTTGTTTTCGGAGAATTCGTGATAAAAATTTTAGTTTCCGTAAATAATTATATTTGTTATGTTAACAATAGATTCACATTTGATAAAGTTTCCAGTTTCCTTTTTTCCATAATATGATGATAAAATCTTAGTTTCTGTCTAAAAAAAACTCAAATCTGGTCATGACATTTAATCAGTTTCTAAAAACAATCGTGTTTTTTTGTGTTTCAAAAAAGGGATAAACTATCATGGTTCTGCATTTCTTTCTTACATTAAAATTAAAATTTCTTAGTCTTTATGGTTTAAAAAATAAAAAAAACGATTATTTTAACCAAATTTTATTCCTTTCCGACATTTTTATATTGATGTAGATTTTTATTATATCAAATATGATGACATCCTTAACACAAAAAACTTTAGTGGTTTCTGTACCAATTAAGTTTAGGTTTCAGCCTTTTCTGCTTAGATGGACTGGACTAAATGCCACATCCATCGATTGTAATTAAAAGTTTCCGCGCATGAATTTAACATTTAAGTTTGCTTTCTAAAACGATTACTCGTCATAATATTTTGCTACTTATAAGGAAATTTGAAATTTATAAGATATTTTTATTATGTTGTCTATTCTTAACTTCTCCGATGTAGTCTCATACATATACGGATAATTGGTATGTTCCTGGTCGAACATTTTCAACAACGTTCATGCATCAATACTATAGCCTGATGTACTCTTTTTTCCTTTTTTCGTTGCTTTTTCTTTTTGATTGTGGGTAAATGATTCCATGATATCATAACACAGCTGTCATTATCCCCTCGTTTAATGAAGCGACAAAGATAATCAACAATGATCTGCTGTTCGTCGCACATTGGCTTTGCCCATGAAACTTCCCGTAGCACCAATTAACTTCCTAATCCTACGGCACTACATACATGTATAGTGTTAACATTGTGCCATGTTTCAGGATTTTGCTACGATTATCCAAATAATGATTCCCATGATGTCTATGATAGTTGATTTATTAGTGATATGCTTAACGTCCAGTTTTGAATATCAAATCCGTAGTAAGGACGATATTAGCATGTGAACTAGATAATTCTCATCACGATCCTTGTTTTGTTTTCAGCCTTTTCTGCTTAGATAGACTGGACTAAATGCCACATCCATCGATTGTAATTAAAAGTTTCCTCGCATGAATTTAAAATTTAAGTTTGCTTTCTAAAACGATTACTCGTCATAATATTTTGCTACTTAAAAGGAATATGAAATTTATAAGATATTTTTATTATGTTGTCTATTCTTAACTTCTCCGATGTAGTCTCATACATATACGGATAATTGGTGTGTTCCTGGTCGAACATTTTCAACAACGTTCATGCATCAATACTATAGCCTGATGTACTCTTTTTTCCTTTTTTCGTTGCTTTTTCTTTTTGATTGTGGGTAAATGATTCCATGATACCATAACACAGCTGTCATTATCCCCTCGTTTAATGAAGCGACAAAGATAATCAACAATGATCTGCTGTTCGTCGCATATTGGCTTTGCCCATGAAACTTCCCGTAACACCAATAAACTTCCTAATCCTACGGTACAATATACATGTATAGTGTTAACATTGTGCCATGTTTCAGGATTTTGCTACGATTATCCTAATAATGATTCCCATGATGTCTATGAGTGTTGATTTATTAGTGATATGCTTAGCGTCCAGTTTTTAATATCAAATCGTAGTAAGGACGATATTAGCATGTTAACTAGATAATTCTCATCACGATCCTTGTTTTGTACCAGACATGATTCAAATTGGCAGTATCTTCTTTTTCACAAGATAACAGTTGACAAGAAGACATGTCATTCCTAATATGACTAATTTTTCTAACTAGTAGCAGACAATACATTGGTCTTACTTAAAAAAGTGTACCATTCTTTGGGAAACGTAGCAAGTACTACCTTTAGGGTCTTTTGATTGACTTGTCAAAGAATCGAACACCGAACTCCTGCATTTGAGGTGTGCACGCTACCACAAGGTCAATAAATTACATGATAAGTTGAGATTTTTCTAATTTCTAAATGAACAAAGGAACACACCATTAACATAGATTGATTAATTTTGTTTTGTTAGATGTACAGGTATAGCAGCAAAAAATATGTATTACTGCAAAAACAAAAGTCAAAATTTTCCTGTTAATTTTCTTATTGTGGTGAAAATGTGAACAACTAGTCTTTGAAATGTACTCATCAGTTGATCTCTAACCCAATGAAAACACTAGACCTCATCCAAAAAGCCTGATTTAATTTAACCAACAAACCTGTTAACAGTACACCCATTACAATGGTTACGGAAAGTTTTGTGAATACCACGTAAACTTTAACTGAAATACTGGTTGGTAATATCTCCGTTAAGATAACGGGTCCGTTAGTTAACAGATACTACGTGAATAAGCTTTCATGTTTTCCATAGCATTCGTTATTTTGATGGTGTTATAAATCAGAGTTAACTAAAAGAGTTTTACTACCAACGTAAATGACATAAATTTCTAGCGATCATAAAAGATGCACATACTCTGTCAATGTACCTTACCTGTCAGTCATCAAACATTTTGTCAGTACGTATATACTGGAAGTACACACTTAGTACCCCAATTTTTGAAATCTTACCTATTAAGTCTGTTTGTTTTGTTAACGCATCGTTGTTAATATATTAGAAATTTTATGCGACTGTCATACAAGTGAGAGGTTTAGGTAGTTATAAAACCAGGTTCAATCTATAATTGTCTACCTAAGAAAATGGCTGTAACTAGTTATGAATATGACAGTTGTTATCCATTCGTTTGATGTGTTTGAACTTTAATTTAATTTTGCCATTTGATTACGGACTTTCCGTTTTGTATTTTCCTCAGAGTTCGGTATTTTTGCTATTTTACTTTTTGTGCTCGAAACACCAAATCCTGTATGTATATCGGTTAAGCTATGCGTTTTAAATACAATAATCGTACTTGAAAGTTTTATCCCTGTTCGCCCAGATGTCATTTTGTTGGAACTTGTGATCCTCTGTTTCAACTACATCTTTGCCTGTCTGTACCAAGAGATTAAATTAATTTTACTCAGAATCATTTTGATGTTTATCTGATAACTAATAAGACATTGTTTTGTATTTACAAACATTACCAAACTATTGAACTACGTTCAATGCGTTTAATATACATGTATACGACTTACGAAAAGTAAAAATGAAATATTAGATTACATTGTGCACATCCTCATACCATATGTCAGTGCCTCATTTCTACAAGTAAACCTTTATCTAAATAGATAAGAATCAGTGTATGTTACAGCTTTATTTTTCGACAGTCTGCATTTAATACTTTGTGGGTTCTCCATGTATGAAAGTCTATACATCTAGGACTTTCAGTCATGTGTATAGAGTCCAGATTGCTGTTTGTTTAAAGTCCGGTAGTAAATAATCAATGCATTTTCAGAAAGTTAAAACATTAAAACTTTACAAAAGATCGTTTCTGACAGGTACAATTTTGTAGGTCGACCGGGATACGGATTAGACTGCCATTGCAAAATAAAGATGTATTGCATAAGCCATAAATGGCTACAGACTTTGGTTCCTTAATATGCATACAGTGCCACACTCTTCCTATCACGAGATTTTTACGTGTTATTCCGATTGAACGACGGACGTCAAGGGATTACCATATTTTTATATCTAAGTCAACCCTTGATGTACTTCTAATCTTTATTGATGTCTTGCTACATGTGAAAGATAGGCGAAAGATACCAGAAGGACACTCAAACTCATAAGTCGAAAATAAACTGACAACGTCATGGCTAAAACAGAAAAAGACCAACAGACGAACAATAGAACACAAAACATAACATAGAAATTAAAGATTGTAAGAAAGTACTTAAATTCAAATGTGTACATGAAGATGTAAACTTATAAGTATCAAAATTAAAAATGGTACTTGAACTATATTTTGCGGTTTATAAAACTTATCAACATAGCAAATTGATTTTCCAAAGTTGTTAGTGAATGCATTGAGAAGCAAACTTAATTGAATGAATAAACATTGTACTAGTATTATTCTATAATATGATAAGGTGTGGTTATGTGTCATAAATTGTCTTTTTATTTTAATTATCAGATTTCTTGCTTTACATACAGGTTTTACATTATAACCCGATTTACTTGTTTACTAAAAAACAGAAATTAACTTACTTTCAAAATAGCTTCAACTTTTTTAGCTCAAAGTGTGTGTGCAATACATCTACACGTCTTCTGGTAATGCATTCCAGTTCGCCTATTGGTTTATTTATATATACATTATAGTGTAAAACACGTACAGGAAATTTTTAATTATTCCCATTAATCAAATGAAGATATTTTTATTTTGTTTAGATTTTTCAATGATAATAAATAAGTTCAATGTCTATTTAACTTTTCATATTCGTATTCAAACATTTATATACAGTATTTCACTTATTTCTAGGTACACTTGTTAAGCTTCCGATTCGACTTAAATGCCATTTGGTGGTCTTCCAATAAGACAAGTGGTTTGTACTTTATATTAGTAACTTTCCATATCTGTTTAATAAGAACAAAAGGAGAGACAGATTTTAACAAGTGATTTACTTCCTTTTAACTCCACGTTTTTCTCTCTGTTATTGATTTATACTTAAGCTACTGTTATA